TTCATACCTTGCGAGATCGCGGAGTGCTTTGTCTTTTCCGGAGCGATTATTGCGCACTAAGATGCGACTCTCGACACGCGAAATGCAGAATGGCGTATTTATTACGAGCGTATTATTTATAATTAAATTCTCTCGTTACATCCAGTTATAACGAAGCTTACGCCGTGTACCGTACTCTTCGAATAAATTATTCATTATTGAGATGAAATTAATATTTGCGCAATAATTTTCTTTCTTCACAAACGAATATCTCTTTTATACAACGACATTTAGTGTGTGAGATCGCTAAATTCATCGAAATTTCTATATTGTCGTGAGCAATGGCGTTTCCGGATGCTTAGGATTCCGACGACGCCAGCGGCCACAATTTACAACACTCGGCTAACCAGTAGATACGTGCCTAATCTCTCGCGCGCGAAGGGCGATCGATGGACCGTACAAGCTATCGCTGGTAACGCGACTGATGGAGGAGCACGCGCGTCGAGAAATTCCGATTGTCCCTCTCGCAACATCGTAACGCCAACGCGGCAATAAACCAAGGTTTAATCATCTGTCGGATTAGAGCATGAATCTCATTCGGCTTTTACGAGTTTTCAAGATCGACACCCTCGAAGATCGGCCTCGGTCGAGTGTAAAGCGCTTCCGCACGATCTACGCGTATAGAAAAAAGAAGAGAGAGAAAGGGGGAGGCTTAACTCGGGGAAAGGATTTTTTTTCATCGCCTGCTGCCGATCCCCACTGACGGAAAATTGCAAGCTTCGTCGATGGCGACGGAGCTTTAAGCCGTCGTTGTAACGAGATCACGTATCGGTCGCTGCGAGCCGATGTGGATATTTTGCAGAGCCGTGGTGAACATGTTGTCGAGTTTTACCGCGCGTTAAAAGACGCACCGATCGTCCGCGGCGCCCTTTTTTTACGGCCGGATGTTAAAAGCGCTCCTCGCGATAAACAAGAGAGAGAGAGAAAGAGAAAGAGAGGAAGAGGGAGAGAGAGAGAAACTTTTTAGAAGGGCTATTTTTTAATCCTGAAATTTCATTGGCTCGATAAAGAGGTCAACCACCGTACAATATGATCGTGGGGGGATCGCCTCTCCAAGAAAGTTATTTCGTAACGCGCTATTGTAATGCATAGCGTCGCATGTGCGATTACGTGTTCAATGGGGTCTTTATCGCTACCCGCATCTGTCTTTAATCTAATGGTCAGTTGACGGCGTTCTCCAGGTCGTAAGTAATATAAAAATGTTTGATTAACAAAACGTGACGGATACGAGATTAATTCTAATTGATCCTTTCGAAGGCTGACGATATTATCCTATTCATAGGAAACATCCGTGAATAGTTAAACGAAAAAGTGGCTCCTATGTATATAAATATCCGTGAATAGTACTCTCTAAATTTCTTAGAGTGAAATCTAACTCCAAACGAAGGAATATTTAGTCCAAGTGATAATGAAAATACTGCCACTGCCGTAATTAGTGAACATTCACTTTAAAAGAACTCTATTAAACTATTTAACTCTGAACGTAAAGTGAATGTGTCACTTGGTTCGAAGTGAATAATTCACTCAACCAGAGTTGAGTCATCACTTTTGTCAAGTTATTTTTTCTCAATTACAAGTGAACAGATTCACTCTTAGGAAGTGAGATTCTAAGCCGTTTTTCATTAATAATAAGAACACGTTACGTATATGACGTATATGACGAAGCTTCGATTAGAGAAGCTAGTAGAAATGAGAAGCAATCATTGCTTTTTATTTGAATTAATCGAAGCTGAACATCGCGCACAGCATGTTACTTCATTGTCGATGTAAAAGCCGATTAACCTCCTTTTTCCTTGTCACAGCCATATAAATATATTTAATGTTACACAAAAAAAAATATGTTTACACTTTTTCAAAATATATTAAAATAAAAAGATATAAAAATTTACTTTAATATGTCTCGTATACTTTACTCACTCTTCATGAGTAAAAATTTTCACTTTATACAGAGTAAAAATGCCACATAGAGTGAAAATATTCACTCTACAAAGTAGAGTATACGCACTCTATTTTGCAGAGTGAATTTTTCACTCTACAACAAAAAGTGAGAAGAATTCACTCCTATGAAAAGTCACTCTAACTAGAGTGTCTTGACCAGTCACACAATTTTTCGAGTGCATTTTCACTCTATGAAATTTAGAGAGTAATCGACGCGTCGTGGTTCGCAGCGGGTCATAAACCATCGCATTGGAAAACCGCGTAACAGCGAGCGATATATAGACTAACTGTGCGAGCTCTCGTTCCGGTGAGGGGAGGGGGCGGAGAGTACCCTCCCGGAAAAAGCGTTTCTGGGTCATTACGCGGCGATAATCACTCTCATAAGCCGGAATCGCGAGACTCGAAAACTATTAGCATATTAATGGCCGGCAGTTCAGTTAACCCTTTCATCGGCGTCGGGCAGATTTGCATCTCGCTGCGGCGGCTGAGCGGCTTGGACGCAGAGGGGGCGGAGGCGGAGAAGGCAGCGACGCCGCCGTCGCCAGGACGGTGGCAGTGCGTTAAAAGCCCCGCTCGGCCACCCTCGCGCGCGAGTCTCGCGAAATTAACATGACAAACTACCCCCAGCAATAAGAGGGTCGAAAAGATATATCGCGCTGGATATGCGGGTGTACGGCAGAAACAATAGATAGCGTCTGCCGAAGGGCGGATGGACGAATCGGACTAAAAAGCGAGCTGGATGAGAGAAGCCGCCGGTCTGTATATATCGCACACATTTATTCTCTCTTTGCTATTCATTCGACCCGAGATATCATGTCGACTATTAATTCGATAGAATCGCTAATATTTGATCATGTGTTTTAACAGCGACGTATCTCCTTTCATTTCCGATTCATCGATAAAAATGCAAAAACACGTTAGGAGATTTTTGTTTGTCTCTTTCCGAGGATTTTTTAAATCGAGAAAAATATATTTTATTTTGAATGATATCGGAATAAATAAATGAGCGGATTTCATATTATTTTTCATTTAAGCGTCTGCACAAAATATCCAGAACTATATATTTACGTTACTTGCGTTATGAAAGGGAGACGTGACAGATAGCTGTCGACACGAGGCGCTCCATAAAATCATCAGAAATCGTAAAAGTCGACGGACTTACGGAGGAGACGGACGCGGCGAGAAAAATTAGCATCCTAATTCGCTCTCTCTCGTCTCGGGGAACTAGTAAACTTCAGTAATTAACGTTTCCGTCCGCCCTATTCTCCCTGCCACGCTTCGCATCAAAACTCGTCCAAAAGTCTGCAAGATGGCCGTTCATTCTCATAGCGCCTCGTTACTATTAACTCTTTCTCGTATATTTTTCGTCGTCTTAGCACGTTTAACGTCGCTTCTTCGTCGTCGTCGTCGTCGTCGTCGTAATCGTCGTCCGTTTCCGCGAGCCTGTCGCAATTTGTCGCTCGCGTTTATCTCCGCGATCCTTTTACGACTTTCTTTTCCGCAGATCGTACAAGAGACAGAAGGAGTCAGAGGCCGCGAGAAAAGCGGGTAAGAAAGAGGTCCTTTTGATGCCGCGCGACGGTGCTGGGTAATGAGGAGTCAGGATCTTTTCAAGGATGCTCTCTATAGGGAGCTACGCCGGGATTTGATAATTACAAGGATTACTTCGGATTTTAAAAGCGTCGAGACTCGGCCCCCTTATCACCAGACCGCGAGAAAAATTCTAAATCTGCTCATTAATCGTGCTTTGGATTCTAAGGATTTTTCTCTCTTTTCTTCCTTTTTTTCCGACTTTTCTCGTACCTTGATTTTAACCACGTCCGCGTCATCGATTTCGTCGCGCTCATTCTCGTCCTTATCTCATTGTGTCGTTTTAATTGGGCCACTCGTGATGAAGATAATTAATTTTGAAGTTAATTGGCAACTCTCGAGATGTTGTATCGGTCGAGATTCGCGCGATTCTTATCGCTCTCGAGATTTCTGATCTCCCGCCCTAAAATTATTCGCATTCGGATTATCGATTCTGCCGATCTCGACCGAAGGATAAGCAAAGATTCAAGACGAGCCCTCTCACTTTATCACGTATAATTCATGCATCTTTATTCCATGGCAATGTAAATACTATCTCGACTTTTCTCGTTTTCTTCGTCACCGTAGATTTATCGTTCAAGACGAAGGAATAACGTCACGAAAGTCTCGTTAGCAGCTATTCTCGTCGAGTGGTCGTCTTAACGAAAATAATTGGCCGTCGTTAAGAGCTTAAGGCAGCTTGCATTAACCGGACTCTCTGCTCCTCTCGCTTTCGTTGATAAGTCCGTTCTTCCGCGCTCGCCCGGCAGTGAGCTATGAAAATATTTTTGATGGGTTATTAAATTAAACGATTTTTCTTATTGGCAGAGTCGCCCGCCTGCATTCTATCCCTTCCCAATCCCGTCGGTGCGGTGTCCCGTGGGGCACTTCTGGTGTACTGTAACGCAGGGGTCGTTCCATAGCAACCCCTATACAGTAATTATGCTTTTCTTTTTATGTCCGCGCCATTTCATTGGCTTGATATAATAAGGCATTGTTGCCGCGTGCAGGGTACGAGGGCGGGATAGCGTTTTCAGGATACTCGCTTAATTAGATCTCCTTGCCTGTCCGATGTAAATCGTATTTTACAGAATCATCCTAAGCTGCTTGTAGGACCCGGACGTTATAGCGTCGGTTCAATATGTCCCTTCAAACAGCTATCTAGCGAATCTTCATTATTATCTAGCAAATATGCGTTATCGTTTGTGTATCTGAATATATTGAGATAATTATTGGAGTGTTGTCTGTCGCCTCGTCAAGTCAATTAATCCATTTATGTATTTCATTACTAGCGTAACGCAAACGTGACATTTTGTATTTTATTTGTGTCGGTCTGAAGAGAAGTTTCTGTCCTTCATGCCGAGCAGATTAGATTCTTTGCGTGTAAAGAAGATAAATGGCCGATACGGTTCGCTGCGCTTATAAAGCAATCGATGACGGTGATGACCTTACAGTCGCGATCAAGCTGGATCAACGCTCGGACTAGGAGGTACGCGATTGCCTTGGAAGCGCTCGTTGCAACATCGCCGACGAGTAGGCGGGCGGATAATTACGATTAAGTAAAAATATTTCTATAATTGCACGCGCACGTTAGACCGTCATCGTGATTTATTATGCGCCATTGTGCGAAGCGGGTAAACAGGACTGCACACGACGTGGAAAGAGAGAGACAGAGAGAGACAGAGGAAAGGTCCGCAGCCTGAAAACGCGAAATCTCCGACGTTTATGCCTGACTTACAATGCGACGCAACACATATGTACACGCCCACCCATCAGGATAAAAGCACTGCGTTCGTCAGGTTTTGCAACCGTATGGAAATAAGGCGCTAAGTAAGAGTTAAAGTGAGTGTATTTGCCCATATGGCGCTAGTCGCCTGTCGTCTTTCTCTTCGCGTCTTGTTTCGCTCTCGTCTTTCCTCTCGTGAATCCGCTCGATTCCGACACGACAAAAATCTTCGAAACCTTCCATGCTTTCCATCGTGACGGAAAGATAGGTAAAAATAGATGGGCAATTTATTTATTTTACTGTGAAATAAAACCTCTTGGAGTAAAAAAGGATACAATGAGTAAAGAGAATTGAGAGAGAAAGAAATGCAAAAAAAACGTAACAACCTTTGTATTCTTCATCGATATATTTTCTCTCATTAGAGTGCTGATAACTTTTCGCATCCGATGTGCATGTCTCGTTGAAACGATATCTGACTCAACCGTTCAACCGTTTCTTACACGCGCTCCTCTCGCTCGACTCGCGTTCCACTCATAAACTTCTATGCTAGTAATTAACCCGAGTACTTTATTGCCTTCAGCATTCACGTCTCGTTAGAGGTAATTAGCTTGCATAATGCTCAACATTGGGAGATTAGATTCGCGCAAATTGAAACTCGCTTGTGCTAACGCTAGTGATAAAATTTGTTGTTGCGTGTAAGACTTGTCTTTGAAAGTTCTCTGTGAATACTTGGAACGGTATAATAAATTTCACACTGTGCACTTTCTTAGTTTGAATAGCGGAGGTCACGCTTGTGATGTATGGATCCTTTGTATTAAATTGTGAGTTGCGACAAATGGGTTGCGCATTGCATATATGACAGAGCGACACGTATATGAGTGGAGAACGCATCTGAGAACTACGTCTAACGATCATTCAACGCGACTATATTATACTTTCTATAATAAGCATCGATTTATTTGATGTCGCATTTGCATTTTATGAAGACAATATGTTGGCGCATTTTGTATAAAATTTTGCATAAATTATTATGTAATTCAAATCAATTTTATATATGAAAAGTTCTATTGTTAGGTTAGGTCGAGAGCTTCATTGAATATTTATCGAGATGAAAATAGGAATTGAATATAGAGAAAACCATCTTCCGAGATTGTATTGCAACGGATTGCGCAGAAATAGGTCAATCGTTGCTCTTCTGGCAATAAGAAATGCAAACGCCATCCTATATACGCGGGATTATGGATTTTCCACGAGCTATTTTTCGAGACAAGAGAAATTTGATCTTGCCAACGCGCGGCCAGCGTCTCTCTCACCTCTGATATTTAGGTCAAAAATCTCTCCCGCGTCGCTCGACGTCGCCGCGCGACGCAATAAAATTTCAAGCACACAAGCTACGTCGGACGAGAGCTCTCTTTCGCAACTTTCTTTCCGCGGGCTCTATTTTAATTTCCCAGTCTCCCGGATATCGTGCACCGTCCGGGGAACGACCACCCGCCGGAGAACGAGAAAAAGAGAGAGAGAGAGAGAAAGAGAAAATAAGAGATGGACCTCGTCTTTCCATCTCGCGTGTTTTCGTTTGTCTATATATCCATATCGCGATCCGCGAATTCCCGTTTCTCCCGCAACATGGAATAGCAAAGTTTTGTCTCTCAACGTGGTCTTTTACAAGCGACGTTCTTACGCGTAACTTACGGGTCGACGACAATCTAGACGAGCGGCCAGGATGACGGCGATATTGCTTCCTTGGGTTAGGTTCGGCCGGAGACCAGAGGGTTACCGACCCAAGTGCCTCGAGCACGGCACGCATCGTGTCGAGTTCCTTTAATGCGCGTCCCTTTCTCGTCTCCGCGCGAAATCCTCCTTGTCCGTCTAGCCGGGCGGCTCTCGCTTCGATCGGCATTAAGGCGCGGGACGGGGGAGGACGACAACGATGTCCTCCTCGTACAACGTTAAGCCATCGTGGAGCATGACCTGAGTGCTCGTCGACGACGACGCCGTCTTGTTGAACGGAAATTCGGATGATATCGTGCCGACTCGCGTTCCGGGGACTCGACTTCGGGTTTCAGCTCCTGTTGGAGAGCACTTAAGGTGGATCCGGGAGCCGGATGAGACGATGTCGACGATGTACCCGGTGAACGTCGTCGATAGAACTTTGGAGTAGAGTATAGAATATTGCATAATGTCCCCCGGAGCTAGGTTCGAGGAAGAGCTCGTCTTCGTGCGACTTTGAGACTCGATCGTAACTCTGCCGAATATTGCCGATATTAACGTTACTGTCCATAATATCACCAGGATATCGTTCACGTTTAACCCTTTGTGTTATAGATTGGAGTAATATTACACAGATTTTAGTCCACACGATCTTCGTCCGGTTTCGGCCATAATAAGTCTCCTAAATATCAAATCCTTTTCTCAATAATCATATTATTTTGTTATTTTTAGTTCGTTTTTTTCTTTAATTTTTTTAGATTGACATATAATATATGCATCTTACATTTTTTCAGAAAAATTTTAAATATTAAGTTTATATAACATATATTTTTTTCTTCGAAATCCGTCAAATTCCTTAGCTTGTAAGAATATTATTTCTTGAAGAATCACACCGTGTTGTAAGAACCTGAATATTCCATAATGGCACTTCTCACTCGAAAGACGGTATAAAGAACATCATCTCGTGATAAATATAAGAGTCACGTCCAAGAGGAAGAGGGATTGCTTAAAGCATTTTTATTCGTATCCTGATGGAAGACTGACGGGAGGAGGAGAAGGTATGAGGAAAAACGAGGTGTCCCGAAGTTTTTCGGGGTGGTTGTCGGATATAATCACTGCAGGACCATCCCTCGTAGTCTTCTGACTGGTACCCTTCCCGCATTCCCCTTTTTATCTCGCGAATCCTGTTTCTTTCTCTTTCTCTCTCTTTCTCTAGTCGATACGAAGATCCCCTTCTCTCCTCCCTCGTATTTCGTCTCACGGCATTGTCCCTTTCAGTTCCCGCGAGATTGCGGGGCCAACGCGGCGAGATATCGGATCAATTTTTTAAGCCGAGGGTGCCGAGACTTTACACTTCTTGAGAGACGACACTGGGGTGGGCCCCGGTACAGTTGGAAACCTCCGCGGCGACTCGGGGGTTGGTACTTCGGCTTGGTGTCGAGGCTGGGGGTGAGGGTGAAATCAAGCCGCGAAGAAAATTAAAACGAGGAACCGAAGGATCTTGAAAGGATCGTGGCCAGGATGCTCACGCACCTCCATCTACTTCTCTACCATCCGCGCTGCTAACACTAAACTCTCTCTCTCTCTCTCTCTCTTTTCCTCCCGATGCACCCGTTTACTTCTTCACCAATCTCCCCCGCCCTCGCCAACATCTAAATGTGAGTCTCCTCTTAGCCTTCCCGACTTTTTTTCCTTGGTCGAATCGTCGTGCGAAAACGACCCGATTGCTCCTCGTCTTGTATTCGGGCATTCCCTCTCCACATTCTTTCGTCGTCTTTTACGCTTTCGTGCCTTTTTTCACGCTTACATTTCGATTTAATATTCATTGTTCATGTTCGTTCAATCTTCGTAATGAGAGTCGCTCTTAAGCATCACAGCATATCTATTAAGGAAAAAAAAGAGCAAATTTCTTTGATGTTTTTAAATAAACTTTTGTTATCAAAAAACTGATGTTTTCAAAAAACATGTTTATATTAAAAAAGTTAAAATGTATGCATCTCTAATTTATAAATAAACTCTAATATTATCTATAATCATGATTGATTAAAAATGTCATTTTCTCAGCCAAAACACTGTAATTCTGTTTTATATTGCATTTAAAATATCTACGTGAACTTTGAACATGATATGCAGTTTATTCTTATCCTACTTTATTCTTATCCCATCTTTCTTCTTTTATCCTTTTACCAATTTCTCTTGCTTCCATGGTTTTTATGCTTCCCCGGGGTATGTGCCATCGATCGTTCAAAGTTACGCGAAGAGTTTTTAATTTATCTCAACGACGCGACTCTCGCTTCTCCCCTCGTCGTAGGTCGCTGAAATTTTCAAGTCGTAGTAAACGGTAAAACGCCGATCGAATCCTCGCAAATGGATACGGTTAAGGACCAGGGTGCGTTTTATAAACAAGCAAACGCGCACAACGACGCGGAGGAGCACGCTCCGACGACTTCACCAAACGGTTACTTCGTTTTAGAGCAAACGACAAAAAGCTGTCGGTTATGACTCGCGATATCTGCGCCCTTTCCCGAAAGAACGAAGGCCCGATACGGCCTCGCTTTCGAGCGCGAATACGGGCGCTTTTACGAGAAGAGTAATTTCGATTCGCGGCCGTAAACGCGCGAGCGAGACGACGCGATCTATAAAGGGCGGTCGCTTCGATCGAATTTTTGTTGCGCGCGAGGAGGTGCTCGCTTCGTAAATCGCTTCATTTCCCAGTCGAGGATTATAACGCCCTCGCGCGCGCGACCGCCAATAATAAAATAAATCACGGCCTCGTAAAGGCATCCATCATGCCTAGGCAGTATCTGTGTCTGCGAAACGACGGTGTGCTCCGTTCGGCACGTTGCGGTTGTAATATAGTTTAGTGTTAACGCACGAATGCTTAGAGAAAGAGAGAGAGTACAACTGACTGGCTTCTCATCCGGGAGATGTGCCATAGTGGACGCCAAAGCCGTGGGGCTATATTTCTTTATTTAATGCTGGTAGTAACGCCTTGATGGCAAATCCGTTTTATTCTTACGCTGACTCAGCCCGCAAAACGTACGGCTGGGCGAGCTGCCACTTCTCGTGCACCGGATCTTATATGGCACTCGAAGCATTATTCGCCCGACAATTCGCCCTTTC